CGTTTCTAACTGCGTCTCTGACTTCCGTCCGGATGATTTCAGGTATGCAAGGTGCAGCTAAGAAGCGAGGATATTCCATTTTTGAATGCGAAGAAAAATAATAAAGATCGAATCGTGAATCGATCCAAACAGAAGGCAAAGTCGCAGGCGGATTTTCGTGATCGCATCTTTGAAAACCAAATTGAAATTTGCAGCCGCAAGAAAACTGGAATTGGAAAACGAATATATGCCGCGTTTCGTAGACGTTGCTAGTAACAAAAAATTTCTTCCGAAGGCTTTTTTTGTCGGTGGTTTTAAAATAAAAAATTGCAGTAATTCCAAAAGAGGCAGCGATGGAGAAATGTTAAGTAGAAACAGAACAAAAACGACGAAGGTCAAACTTAGTTCTGGTTTTGATTGTAAATCCAAAAAATCACTACTATACCCTAATGTCAAACCTGAGTTAACCAATTCTTTTGTGTTTCAGCTAGCTATCCAATAGTCAAAGCATTTTGTGTGGTCAAATAAGCGAAAACTACCTTAGCACTTAACAATTGTGTCTCACACCGGACACGCAAGGCCTTGCACTATTTTCAGGACGGGTGTCACTATAGCGCAAAAACAAAGCGCTAGAAATTCGCTATATCATTACTTTGAGACGTCAAGGCTGCGATAGGTCATTGTTTTACGTGTTTGACGTCATTTTGAAATCGTGCTACGTATGACTTAAAGTTTTCCGTAACGGGCAATAGATTAACGTCTCCCGTTTCGCCTGGATAAAATTGTCCTAACTTTAACCTGAATGAAGTAATCTTTCGATCAACCTTTGCTGCGCTCCTTCGATAAGAAATGATTAGAAAAGGCGAATCTCTAGAACATGTACCGTGCTGTTCTTGATTTGACCTCAGCTCAGCTTGCAATAGGAGTTCGTCCGCCGCACCATCGCCGACAAAGTTAGTTTCTGGTACAGCTTCACTAACCACGTTGGACATTACAGGCGACACCAGCGCTAAAGACAAAACTCATCAGCTAATTCATATATTTCCGCAAGCACATCATTACAAATGCGCAAATTATGCAGTCTGTACAACAGAAACACCGGCTACACAAAAGGCAATCCCTTATAGGTAGCCACAAACCAGATCTATTTTGATTTATTATACCTTTTACTGATTATCAACTAAATATCTCTTGTGAATTATTATCTACATTATCTCTATATTATATCTTGACCTACATTATCTATATTATCCATATATTCTCCGTATTATATATTTCTATATTATCTCTAATAATATCTCTACTAGATTATCCCCTGTGAACACTGGTAGGTTAGAGAGTATCTCCGAAAAGCTGTTCTCACATGAAGAGGGGCATGATAGATGGGGGAGGGGAGTATTCAAAAACGTGAATTTTGGCGCTAAGTATTTTTTTGATGGTCCCTGACTTTGTGAGAGCGCGCAATTAAAAACAGGTAAAGGTACCAGTACAGTACAGTGCAGATGACAGTAATCATATTGACGACGACAAGTCCGCTGCTTGCACTGGCTAGGATTGCTAGAACTGTTAACATAGTATCAAATTGCAAAGCAGGTTAGCATCACGGTGCAAAGTCACTGCAACTAGCTACTGGAGCTCATGAGACTTTAATTCGCTTTATGAGCAAACAAAAATTTGTCACACATTCTACACAAGTTCATGAGAAGCTGAAAACACGAGCGAGTTACCCAGCAACATCTACAACAACAGGCGGGCGAATAACCGAAAAGATCTCGTCTAAATTCGCCGTGGGTGGTGCTGTTCCCATGATAGATGCTGCGTTTCCTCGCTGAATTTCGATGCTGATACGTTGACGCAAAAACTCAAGTGCTCGCGGTTCGCCTGACTGCTGCTGCATCATCTTTCCTAGCACGTTAAGCAGCCCTATGGTTTCTGGTCCGGATGTTCCGTAAGTCTCGAAGGCCAGTGGTCTGAACCAGTAATCCTGGGTAATGTTGCGGTATTTCTCGGTCTTGCTCCGCTCGGCTAGCGCTGCTGCAGCTCCGGCTCGAGTGGACGTGGCTGCGATGTACGACAAGGCCATGGTGCTGCGGCACGTTACATCCCAGGCCAGCGCCTTTCCTCTTTCCCACGGGGAAATTATCACTCCGTCTGGTCGTTTGCCATCTGTACGGGAGATTCCAAGAGGTTCCAGTTCAGTTTCGATTCCAGCTGACGCAAAGGCGCGCTTTATGACCGCTTTCAGACTTTCATGGGTCGGTTTCCGCCCGGCACTGAACTTGCAACTTGAACCATGGTAGCCATGCTCATCCGCTTGGTCGCCGCAAATGCACTGGTGTGGTGTGCACACCGGTGCACCAAGGCGCAGCGCTACAGCTGTCCTTAGGCTGGAGTAGTATCCGGGTCCAACCTGACCAACTTTTTTATCCGGGGGTCTAAATTTTTGGACCTAGGGCATTATTTACGGGTCTAAAATATCGGGACCTAGGTTATAATTTACTAGAGCGTGTCGGCGCGGGCGTGCATGTACCGTCGTGGCGGAGCCACGACGGTGCATGTACGGGGCGCATACGTGAAATAGTACGCAGAGTCTCTACTGAAAGAACATTTGTTTTTACTAAGGTTTCAAAACTTAGTTCGTGCACAGGCGGAAACCTTAGTTGTTCTACACTAAGGTATGGGAAACCTTAGTTGACCTACTGCCGCATACGATATTGTTTTTTAACTTGGTTATTCGTTTTTTGTCATTCAGATGGTCAGTTTTTTTAATGGTTACCTGACAAACCTTGTACTAAAATTTTATTCCGCACGGAAAGTAAATGGAAAAAGTTATATAAGGGTAAACAAATACTGCATCACTTGCAATAATTACCGTATAACGATCAATAATTACCGCGGTAACGAAAGAATGTTACTAGGCGTATTCGATACTTAACATACTTGGGCAGGTATAAAAACACCGACTTCGTACGAGGCTTGCCTCATTCAAGTTTTCCAGTTTCTCCCTAATTATTATGCAATAAGATTTCTGGTGTTTTGTTCAAGTGTATCACGATTTTAAATATGGAGAATTCGAGAAAACCAGGGATTAAACGTCGTAGCGAAGAAGCCTGTCCAGGTTCGTCGAAAAGGTCAAGGGATGAGGAGACTGGTAAGCTACAATATTAAAATTATTTTTTTTTGAGGATTTACTTTAGATTTTGCAGATTCAGTATTTCCCGGTGATATTACTGAGCACATTCACATCAACGAAGCCGGTTCCAGAATTTGGAAAAAATTTCGGCTGCATTCAAAGTGTTATTCAGTAAAGGTTAACATGTTAAAGTCACCTCAAAAGCTGAGTAAAAGCTAAATTTATTATGCAGGTCACTGATCTGGAAAGAATTCCTTTTTCCGGTGTGCCTACGGCCATTATGGAAATTCTTCAGTACGTCCTAGATCACGTGTTGGACGCCATTAATGCCAAAGAAATGGTCCGCATTCGACTGGACTCCAAAAGCTTGAATTATCCCATCTGGACGCCGCCCATTCAAAAATCTCAACTTACGGTCAACCGCTGGATGTCAGAAGTTGAACGTGTGCTCAATTCATACGAGGAATTCGTGATTGATAAACATTTTGAAGTTTTTGTACAGCACACGGAAATTCCTCAAGGCAGATGTGTCCGCGAAGTACCAATTCTGCTAAAGAAAAGACTTCAAAGGATGCAATCCGTTATCTTAATTACAAACTCGGACAAGATCTGCATGGCCAGAGCTTTGGTGGTAGGGAAGGCGTATGCTGATGATGATAAGCGGGAGTGCCGCCGAATGAAGCGTGGGGAAAAATTGCAGACTAAAGAAGCACAAGACCTTATTAAGAACGCAGGACTGGAAGAAAGAGAATTCTCAATAGCGGATGCGCCATGTTTCCAAGCAGCACTTCCAAATTACCAAATTATCATTGTCAGTGTGGACCACGCCAATAGTATTGTATTCAGCGGGCCCAAACAAGACCGACGGATTATTTTGCTGCATCACGACCATCATTTTGATCTCCTGAAGTCATTGCCAGCATTTTTCCAAAGGACTTATTGGTGCTACGATTGCAGCAAAGGTTACAACAACAAGTCCGATCACCGATGCCTGTCAACTTGCCATTTATGTCTGCGATCCAATTGTGAATCGGATAAAGATAACATTATTGAATGTGAAGATTGCCACCGAAGATTTTACGGCAACGGATGTTTTGCGGAGCACAAAATTGGCCCCACCGTCCAACAAAAGAAACGAAAAAGCATCTGCCAGTCATTATTCATTTGCCAAGAGTGTTTCCGGTTGGTTTCGTTGAATAACCGCAAAGGATCGGCGCGCCATGAGTGCGGAGAAGTGTACTGCCAGAATTGCAAGATGCGTGACCTACCTGATACTCATGAATGCTTTATGAAACCCCGGAAAGTCACCGAAGAAGAACTGGAAGAACACAAGAATGCAAAGTTTTTATACTTTGATCTGGAGACCTTCGTGACCGAAAATAAAGAGCTCGTTCCAAACCTTGCGGTATGTAATGTCATTTTTTTGCAGCTTTGAATAAGAATAATTAATCTGAATTGCAGATAGTCCAGGACGATGACGGGCGGGAATGGGTCTTTCCAGAGGATGGAGTGCCGTTAGGAAATGACATTACCGATTCCCTGTGCGCCTTTTTGTTTAGTGAGCGACATCGGAATTTTTACATTATCGCTCACAATTTCAAGGTATTGCAACACAATTATCTGAAACGCGAATCTGACAATCTTTTGCTTGCAGGCTTTTGATGGATACTTTATCTTGCAATGGTTACTAAAGAACGGAATTACACCAAACGTAATCTTGAATGGTGGAAAGCTGATGCAACTAGACGTAACGGAGTATAATATACGGTTCCGCGATAGCATAAACTATAACCCACAAAGCCTAGCCAAGTGGCCAGCAACATTCGGCATCCCAGATATTGGAAAGGGCACCTTCCCCCACAAGTTTAACCGGAAGGAGAATTGGGATATGATTCTTCCTTTTCCTGACCCTGAAGAGTACGGCTTTTCCAGCATGAACAAGAAATCCAAGTCATTGTTTATGCAATGGTACAACACTGAAGCTGAGCATAAAAACTACGCTTTTGACTTTCGAAAGGAGATTGTGGAATATTGTCGGATGGATGTAACGGTCCTACGACTGTGCTGCCAGCAATTTCGCCGCCTTTTTCAAGAAATCAGCAATGGATTGTGCCCCTTTGTTTCGGCGATGACAATTGCGGGAGTGTGTAACCGATTTTGGAAATCATTTATTTTGAAACCTGACCAAATTGGATTACTGCCTCAACGCGTTCATGCCAAGAACCGCAATCAGTCGGAAGTTGCCAAGAAATGGTTAACGTGGATCGAATACCAGGAAAACGTCGAAATCGAGTCTGTACTAACCGGAGCAGAGCATCAAATTGGACCATATTTTGTTGACGGATACCGCCAGGATATTAATCACGTCTACGAATTCTACGGGTGCTGGTACCATGGATGCCCTCGTTGTCATGCTGCAGATACTATACATCCGCTGCGTAATCTGCCAATGTCGGAAATTTATAATGAAACATTGGAGCGGGAAAAGTACATCCGGAACCAAGGGCATGGATTAACCGTCATCTGGGAACACGAGCATCACGACCAAGTAAAGGCGGATCCCGAAATGAGAGCATTTGTCCAGGGACTGTCATTTATTGCACCTTTAAACCCTCGTGATGCTTTTTACGGTGGTCGGACCAACGCCGTCAAGCTCTTCCATGAAGTGAACGGTGACGAAAAGATTAATTATTTTGACGTCAACAGCGAGTATCCATACGTCAACAAAAACAAACGGTACCCAATCGGCCATCCCACCATCATTACCAAAGATTTTGATGATATTCGCAACTACTTTGGAGTTGTGCAATGCCGAATCCTACCGTCAGGAGATCTGCAACTTCCCGTACTTCCCTACCGCTCGGGTGGAAAGTTAACGTTTCCTTTGTGCCGCACCTGTGTGGACAACTATGAAAACGCTCAGTGTGAGCACACGGACGAAGAACGCGCTTTAACGGGCACATGGTGCACGCCGGAAATTACTGCTGCTCTGGACCGTGGCTACGTTGTTGTCAAGATCTATGAAGTGTGGCATTTTGACCAACATGATGACCACCTTTTCGAGGAATATATCAACAAATTTTTAAAAATTAAGACGGAAGCCAGTGGATGGCCGCTGCATGTCCAAACCGAAGAGGAGAAGCAAAAATATATATCGGATTTCAAGCAGCATGAAAAGATTGATTTGGATTATGACAAAATTGACACAAATCTTGGATTGCGATCGCTATCCAAGCTGTGCCTGAACAGGTAAATTTGCATCGGATTTTACGCCAACGTGTACTACTCGTGTGTTGCCTTTACAGTTTTTGGGGACGTTTGGGAATGCAAGACAACAAACCCAACACAATGTATATTACCGAGCCCGAGAAATTTTATGATATGCTTCTGTCCGGAAAATTCCACGTACAATCCTGGGATATGTTTACGGAAGACGTCGTGCAACTAGCGTACACTAATGAAAGCGGATTTGTGGAGCGCAATCCCAATACCAACGTCATTTTGGCGGCGTAAATGCAGAAATATTTTTTTCTGGAACTGTCAATGAGCCTAGTTTGCTTTGCAGATTTACAACATGCTGGGCACGATTGCACTTGTACAATTTTATGGATATGGTGAAAGATCGGTTACTGTATTTTGATACAGGTAATTCAGATTTTTCCGAAAAAAGGTTTTGTTTCTGGGAAATTTACCGTACATGCCCTTTACAGATTCGATATTTTTTGTCACAAGGCCTGGACTTGTTGATCCTCCCACCGGAATCTTTTTGGGAGACCTGACCAACGAACTGAAGCCAGGACAATTTATCACGCAGTTTGTTAGCTTGGGCGCTAAAACGTATGCCTACGTCACCAATGATGGAGATGCTGTCGTCAAAGTGAAAGGCTTTACGTTGAATGGGCAAACGAGTGAGCGAATTAACTTTAGCACCATGTTAGAGATGTTGGAAAACCGGACTTTTGTAAATATTCAGTATCCGGATATTCTTAAACGAGTTAAAAAAGATCTGACTATATGTACCACTAGTATGGAAAAACGCCTGCAAGTGACGTATGACAAACGTCGCATTGTTGATGCGGAATACAACACTTTGCCTTATGGCTTCAAGTTGAAATAAATTTATTGAATTGATCGAGCATGATTTCGACGCGTTGCACCGCTTTCAATAAATCAGTAGCGGATTTCAGACCAAGAAAATTACATTTGCCAGAAGTAAACAAAACAGCACGGCCAACACTACACTTGATGGCTAGACCACTAAACAATTCAGGTGTATACTCCAAGTGAAAAAACTTGCTGAATTTCTCGATATGCACACGTTGAGGAAAAGTATGATTAGCCACAATATTGACAATACGAAATTTAGAAATGGTACACCGGTATCCAATAGCGGTTAACATGTTAGTAAAATGCTGCAACAATTCGTGGGCTCCTTCTTCTGAGCGGGCTCCGTTGACGGTGATTTTGCCATTGCGGTACAGTTGACAGTGCGCTTTGTATGGTTCCAAGATCCGCAAAAGCAATCCAGAAAATCGATGGGGTATATACTGAGCCATCGGCAGCGCCTTTTCAATTTTCTTCAGGTCCAGGGTAGTGTTTAAATCCGCAACGGCAACGACATTGGTGATTTTCGGCATCGCAATAGTACCACAGCGTGAAACGCACGGCTTTGCGCAAGGTGGACACGGGGAGGGTGGTCAGCTTATGATACGGCGGGCATCCAAAGTTTTCCAGGTTGGCGACTTCCGGTAAGTACTGCTCCAAGAGGCGGCACTTTTCCAGTCCCTTGGCGAAGAAACGGATTTGATTCGGTCGGCCAATTTTTTTGAACATATCCTCTAGGGCGTAGGTCACTTGGTTATGACGATATTCTCCTTCGGTATTCCACAACAATCCGTGGGAGTGGCGGGCTTGGGTGCGCAATATTGAACCGTATTTGGCAGCAACGCGCGGGAGTGTAAAAGTGTACAACTCCTGCTGTTCTTTTTCCGGGCAGTAAAAGGCAAGCTGCTTAATGTATTTCTTCCCGGCAATAACAAACCAGTCAGCATCTAGAATACAAGGAGTGGCCATTTTGGATCAGAATGAATGAACACTGCTGCGTCACACGGCTATTTATAGCTGTGGAAGGTATCACTTTTAAATGTTACAGGTGTCATTAAGAAACATTACACCGGTAACTTTTCAAAATTACCAGTACCCATTCGAATGTTACAGGTCGGTAACAATCAATAATTACCAGTATCACTATCCATTGTTACTACGTTCCGTATGCCAACTATAAAAATCTGACAAGTTTCTTCAGAAAGCTCAGTTCTTTTTTCTAAAATGGAGTTTCTGGATTTGCCCCCACCATCGAACAAGCGACCTCGGAAGCCTAAAGCGGATGACGTCAAGAAGCCAAAGTTGGAGGATGCAAAACCTCACCAACGATTTGCCTTTACCCAGCAAGGCCGCCCCGTCTACCGCCTAGGCAACGACAAATTCGTTTACGTCGCCCGCAGCACGACCGACCACCATGTTGTCCGCGTGGTTTTTGGTGAGTGGAAAGAGCAACCGGATCATTCGTGGAAGCCGACTTGGGGCAAAAGCATTGCCCTCAACAAACCTGGAGTTTTACGTTTGGCTGCTCTGATGCTGACGGGTACTACGGATATGGATGAAGCGACGCGAGCCTCTTCAGCTGAAACGGGCAAGTTATCCCCATTATACCGTTTGGATGGTGGAATGTATTTTGGTTGGAACCGCTTCAACAGTGCCAATGTGGCAACAATCCGTCGCTATCATCAAAAACCAGCTGGCGATCTATACCCTACGCGCTATGGCATTTCCTTTGGAGAGCGGTGCTATGATGCCTTGAAGGAACTGTTGCAAGATATGCAGCTGTTTAAAGAAATGGCGGCCATTCAGAAAGAACTGGGAAAACCGGACCCTGTCAAGGAAGGACTAATGTACAAAGATTTGCTAAGCGAAGTAGCGGAAGCAATGGTAGGACTGGTCAAGCTGACCGATGACGGAACGGGTGGAACGGGTAAGGAGCGCCCAACCGACGGCGAATGGAATGCTGCTATGGAGCGCCTGACTGAATTGCGGATGGTGTATGGCATTTTATTTGGCAAAGACAAACTGGGCGTGGAACAAGCACTGGAGCTAAACGTTGCTGGATTTTTAGCCAGCAACGGAAAGGAATTGCGTGATTGTGTAGGTCGTATGCTAACTGACGAATGTTAAGTGGGTTCTTGAATTATATTATCTTTGTATACTATACTTTGTCACATTTACTGTTCAATAGCGCTGCCCATTTTTTTGCTGATCATTTTATTAATCGTTTGCAAATCTGCCGGATGAGATTTCCATCAACCATGGTTGTTTTAAATTGAAAAACAGTTAACGTACTGGCACACCATCTTGTCGTTGCTCGCCTTATTATCAGTAAACAAATGCACAATATTCGTAAATGACTCGCCACTACATCGTCGTAAAATGAAAAACAGACAATATTGGCCACAGACGGTACTGAGTTCTGATTGAAACTGCTCGGATTGCAAGACAATTTCATTCTCTTTAGTTAAACTAACAAAGTCTGACGAGTAAGATTCCAGCTTCTTGCCATACGAGTCGAACACTTCCATACTTCCATCCATTTCCTGATACAAAGCAATCCAATGCTCTCCTTCTCGGTCAGCCGGATCAGTATTTACCACACACGCTGCGGGATAGGGTTGTAGTGACGGGGGTACTTCATTACTGGCAAAAACACCACGAAAAGTTTGGGTGGTGATCGGATGGCCCTGCAAGGCCTCGTTGATTTGCTGGCTGTTCATGTTGAAAAGTCCGCAATCAGCTGACGGTGTTGGTTGATCTCAATAACGCTGTCGTACACCAGCATGCACACCATCATGATGGTTTTTTCCAATGGTTTTCCAAAGGAAACAGAAACGCTTAAATTGCCCTGTTTGATCAAAGTTAACGGTCCGCGTCCAGTATGTCCGGGCGTGAGGTCAAACCCATATAGCGTATAGCCTTGGTTGTACTGCGTGCGCGTAAACGGGAGACTTCCTTGTAGACTTGGTCGATGGCCCAACGTATCTAGTAGTCCATCATAGCATTCCAAAGACAGGCTGCGTTCAAAATCAGCCATGTAAGGTTTGTTGGGATAACTTTGCCCGTCCACTTCCACACTGATTTGCGTCAGGTTAAAGTGTTGAAAGTTGAACGGATTGCGTTTACTTGATCCATGAAAATCTTCACTGTCCACAAATCCAATGAAGACCACTTTGGGAATTTGTCCAATTTGCAGATTACTGACCACTGTGCTCTGTGTCTTTTGAGCAATATCCGACACACGCATTACCACACGTTCAATGTGGTACTTTACGGTTTTCTTTAACAATTCTCCCGTCACAGCCGTTAGAAAATCAGGGGATGGTATATATCGTCGAATCGATAGTCGAGCGTTGCGGATGAATGGTTTGAAGGTCTTTGTAGCATCCTGATCCCACACGCGCAAAGAAAATTCCGGTCGGCTGACTACTAATCGGATATTGACTGGCACACCCGTGCACAACGGTTTGCTCTGGTCAAACAGATCCGCAAAGAGCTTGCCCGAAAGTTGCACATAATTTCCACCATCAAACAAGGCTTTGCGGTTTTTCTCGCCCTTGTTTAGTGTTTCATCGTTGAAGCGCAGTGCGGTATCGTGGTAGAAAGCCGCCGATGTCAATTGACTATTTTGCGCATCGGTCGTATAAGATAGCAATGATTCTAGATAAGCACGGTATGGATAAAATGTCGCCGCATCCGAGATGAGCCGATTAGCCACCGTGACGTGACACGAGGAAAACAGAGAATGCAAGAAATTGTTGACGGGCGCGACACCATCGGCTGCCGTCATCGCTTCCCATTCTCCACTACCCTTGCGCACTTTGATGCCCACCTCCAACTCCAGTATCATATCAGCCAAACTAAGTAAACCAGACGTACTGGGAGGAATGAAAAAGTTGTTGTCTCCAGCTGAACCGTTATCCGTCAATATGGTGGTGGGATTCAATTTCTCGTTCTCCGTTCGCCAGCGGTCAGTCAACGTGGCCGGAAGGGCAAATAACTGATTCTCCAGCTGCATGGCCGGTTCCGAATCTTCTACCATGAGCATGGCCATTTTTTAAATAAAGTCAGGAATATCTTTAGGGGGAATACGTTTTATCCGTCGCAATCGTTTTCGAGCTTGTCCTTCTTGAGGAGCTAGACGTTTCTCAATCGCGGCTCCGGCACGTGCTGCTACATCTTTAATAACCCCGGTAGCAGCTTCTTGCAGGTGTGGTGTGGCGGCTTCCAGCGCGGCTTTGGCATGGGGAGCTGCTTGCTTTAAAAGAGGGGCCGCAAAGGAAGAAATTTTGGCAAATAACCTTTTAAGGATTTGTGGAAACCCCGATCCATTCTGCAAGGTCCCTCGGTAGCGTATGAGCGCGCTTCCTCCGGTTTGGTTCAGGAAGACGCTTTCATAACGCCGCGGGTCGGGTACGTACGGAACCAGAGGCATTTTCAATATAGTCTTTGGGGTCGGAAATGCAGTTTCACCAACGATTTCCCGGTTTGGAATTTGGCATCGTCTCCGAGATCATTAGCAATGGTCAGGTGAATGGTTTCGAAATGTTGTCGTAAAACAGGAACGTAATGCGGAATGTCGAACCGTGCTTCCACGATTTGATTGACTTCTCCTCTAATAGGTACAGAACGCAAAAACTGCGCTGCTGTGTCTCCGATCAAGCTGTAGTCAGCCACATCGCTGTACACAAACAAACTTTGATTTCCTAACAAAGTGTTCACGGGACGCTCCGAAATAAAAGTTTTCAGTTTGGGATTGGGCGGTTTGGTCAAGAACGAGAGATATTTGATTTGACTAGTCTTGGTTTCCATGGGAAAGGGGCCCCGCGCATTACCGTTACTCTCCACTGGCACATCCGGTTTGAATTCAGCGCTGTCAAATCCAAGAATCTTTTGCAAAATTGATGATCCTGGAGGAAAAACAACAGACACACGGTCGTTTCCAATGTTGAGTCGCACGCGATGATTTGTTGGGGTGAGGAACTGAACGGTAAAGGCTCGATCGTGGGACAAGGCGCTTTTATCGGAATGAACCGTATCATCCACCATGTATGCTCCAACTTTATGACCAGTGAATTGATCGTCTGCAGTAACAATTCAGCATTCTTAAAGTTGCCCGGCGGAATGGTAATTTCATCTTGATGGATGACGTAATCAACAGATTCAATAAAACCTGTGTCGTCTTTTTTCAATCGGAATTCTTTCACAATATTAACTTGTATTTTCTGCTCCACCGGCAAAGTATAAAACGAGTTCAAGTATTGCAGCTCGACAAGGGCCATTTCCCACTTTCCTTTGAGAGTGATGGGGTGTTTCAGTTTGGTTGTCCAGTTAGAGGCTGTGTTGGTTGCTTCTGTTGCCACGTCGCTAGGCAACGTCACGTAGAAAGGAGCCCCTTCATACATGATGCTTTGATCCACGAATCGTGTTCCGGTCCGTATCCTAACCAACGTACCAGTACTTTGTTCCCTTGACGTTTTACAACGTGGTCGATGGTATACTGGTCCGGTACAGAAACTTTGGAAAGTTCGTGTTCGTAGAATGTCCCTTTGATAAGATTGTCTTGATAGTCTTTCAACCGATAAACGGGAACGTATTGCGGAATAACTTGCACAACGTAGAAAATCTCTTCCTTAAATCGATACGCGTAGCCTTTTTCCATCTTGCCTTTGTTGATAGCAATCCGCACAGCATCCCCCACACTGTACCGCGGTTGGTACGCAATCTTTGGTGGATACAAACGGTTGTAGACCGATAAGGAATTGCTGTGCTTAACATCCACGGGGCGCATTCCATGCGACCGATGCTTTGAATGGTTGTACGAATACACCAAGTCCTGCAGCTTGTCCACATAACGTGTTGCAACACGTGCGCGGAAAAGTCGGAATATTCGCGACTTGATGGTCCGTATGACTCGTTCGGCCATGGCGCATTTAATGTCTTCGTTTTCCGAAGTGAACATGGCGATCCTTTTACCGTTGAGGAAGTCTTTCACCGTCTTGTTCAACATTTCTGTTCCTTTATCATATTGGAGCTTTTCCGGTTCTCCCAATTCCTTGAATGCTTGCTCTAAAGCTGTTTTGGTTTCTTTACCGGTCTTTCCTCTCAAAGGAATTACGCTCAGTTTTTTGGAAAAGCAGTCAATGACAAACAGCAAGTACTTGTATCCATCGTTTTCTTTGGCATACTTAGACAGGTCAGCCAGATCAGCTAGGTATTGCTGCTGCAGTGTCGTCACGACTACTCGGTTGCGTGGGAACCGTTTGCGGTTCTCCTTCGTCACCGTGTACGCATCGATCCCTTGCAGAATCTCCAAAGCTTTCCGTTTGTTGGCTCTGGTCTTTAAACTCCTTTGGAATCTTGCGATGCCGCCAAGGCTTCCGGGATTTCTTGGGTTTAAGTACTTTTTCATCAGCTTCTCCATTGTTGCAACATGTGGACACACAGTTGATCTTAAATATGCGGCATAATCGCAAAACACTGGGTATCCAACTCGCCATTATGGCAAAGTAATCCACGGTAAGCGTCGGCTGCCGCTTCCCACTTGTCTTTTCTTTTGGACAGGAGTTTCCACTTCCACAACCACCTTTCTTTTGGAGCCTTTGGTGGGTAGAGTAGGCGGAAATAACGGTCGACGTGGAATTTTTACCGGTAAAAAATCTTCGGCTTCCCGATCACGTTTGCGCCCTTTGGTTGGTAAGATCTCCGGAAATAATGGAACACGTGGTTGCTTTGAAGAACTCCTAGTATCGTGGAAATCCTCTTCACCCTCCCGTTCGCGTTTGCGCCCTTTGGTCGGTAAGGTATCAGGGAATAACGGAACACGTGGTTGTTTTGAAAATCTTTCAGTATCGTAATCGGTCCGTTTCCTTTTGGAACCAGTTGGAAGAGGTTTCGAAGATTCAAAGGTCAACGCTGTGGCTGAATGGTGGGAACATTCGGTATTTCCAGTAAATTTTCGTCGGTCAAGGCTTTCTGTTTCAAAGCCAGGAAGCGTTCCAGTATGCTTGATAACTGGCTGGCTTTTTCATACTCATTTATATCGGTACGATGCAAGGTTTTGGCTAATAAGGCATCCAATGACAACACCGCTCTGGCTTCGGGAGGTTCCTTATTTATCTGTATCTGCTCATGTAGTCGCGCTTCCATGTCACGGCGCGGTACAATGTAGTATTCATCCATTTCCAATCAGTGACGTCAACACTCCGGCTATAACGGGTAATATGGCTCCAATGAATCCTCCTTGCTGTAGAATTTTCCGCTTTTCCTTGTTTGGGTACCGCCGGAGAGCAATCAACTTTAATGCTTTCCGATGGCGTTTGCACTTGTCCAGTTCGGTAGGGCTGAGGGCCACAGTGTTCTTGACAATATTAACCGCAATTTCTTCCAAGGCTTTCATCTGCGATTTGTTCATATAACCCAATAGAACTTTACGCTGTTTGGGTTTCAGATTTTGCAGAGTAATCAGGAAAGGGGCTAAGGCTTTAACACGTTCCGACATTTTGGCAACGATTGGTGTAAATTCTCATCTGCTCATATGGCAACACATGAGAGCGGATCCTTAAATAATCCGGACATGCGGGTCGCATATCAATGATCAGAGGCTGGTAAGGTTGAGCAGTCACTTTTTTGTACGCTTCCACTAAATGTCTCAATCCTGTTTGACGGGCTAGTAAGTTGATTTGTTGGACATCCCTCACGCTCTTAAATAGTATCAAGTACTGGGAATTGAGGGTGATGTCTCGCATCGATTTTCCTTGCTTATATAAATTTTGCAGCAGAACAACGACTGAAACGTTGTTGTGATGTATTCCACGCGTGAACAAATTGGAGCAACGGTCGTCTTTACATAAATCAGAAGCCAGGTCGTCAATGATTATCAACGTTTGCTCGCCGGAGACGGTATCGTCTAGCAGCGAAAACAAATTATCCAAGCCTTTGACAAACTCTACGTTCTTCAAATTATGAAAAGCATTCTGCCATTCTCCGTAGCAGTAAAATATTTTAGATGGCGGCTTATCAATCAGTATGTCACTATTGTTGATCAAAGAAAACACAAAATTGGTTTTTCCAGACATTGTCGGTCCACAAATGCACATTCCAAAGGGTGCGCAAAAGCGCGGAAATGAAGACAACGTTCCATACATTTTGTCACTTTTGCTAGCTGGATTTATTTTGCGCCTTAAATGTTCCTGTTTGCAGTTATTTAAGGCGATGATCTGCAAACAGCAAGTATTTAAGCATGAACGTTTCAAATTGTCGCGCTATGGCCGACCCAAGGCGTTTGTTTCCGAATGCGACCCCTATGGGTCGCAGATGTGAAACAATTTTATTATCGCTTCTTTACGTCATCTTCTTTATTGTTTTTGCCATATTCATCGTGACGGAAGCGGTGGGGAAAATGCTACAAACCAACTACTGGAACAGCACTTTAAGGAACATCACTCACCCAAGTGGCAGCTAGGTAAAAACGGCCAGTCGGTTATTCTTTTGCAAAAATCTTTTATCGCTGGTCGTGCTTTCAGTTGCCAGTTGTGATTGAAAGCATCGCAACCGAAGAAAGCCAAAGCACCGAACGCGGAACAAATTTTACATGGCCACCGGAAAGATCCGAACGTCCTGACGATCTACAGTTGGATTCCCCATCGGGTCCAGAAATGCCCCGCGATTGGTCCCAGTTAGGTTAATTCCATTGTACATCAGCATCGTCGAGCTACGTCGAGGATAAGGCTGATGATTCAACAAAAGTAAGCACTTGAAGTCGTAGCAATCGGTCCTGGACTGTTCATGATACATCGGCATCGTCGAGCAACGTTGAGGATAAGGATGATGATTTCAACAAAACAAGCACTCGAAGTCGTAGCAATCGGTCCCGGACTGTTCATAATACATGGGCATCGTCGAGCCAAAGCCGTCACCAACTCGTTGACCTGACGATCTACAGTTGGATTCCCCATCGGTTCCAGAAATGCCACGCGATTGGCTCCAGTTAGGTTAATTCCATTGTACATCGGCATCGTCGAGCTACGTCGAGGATAAGGATGTTGATTCAACAAAAACAAGCACTCGAAGTCGTAGCAATCGGTCCTGGACTGTTCATAATACATGGGCATCGTCGAGCCAAAGCCGTCACCAACTCGTTGACCTGACGATCTACAGTAGGATTCCACATCGGTTCCAAAAGCACCATGCAATTGGAAACCAAGCGCGCTATTTGCAACGCTCCTGTAAATTCCAGTTTAATAAGCCCATGGTGTCGGATGATGCCGGTCAGCAGTTCCTCCATAAAGAATTTGCACATCAATGTGTGGCGATGCCGTTACGATTCAATAAAGTGTGGTGGCCGCCGCCATTCAGAAGATACCTTGCCCCTTAAATACCTGCGGAACTGCTATCATGCCTTTAAAAATGCTTGTGCGCCACCATATGGTGTATTTTTTTTGAAATAAAAATACCTGTCATGCAATTCTAAACTCGTATTTATTATGAAGCTGCCGGATTTTTGTTTCGTCAATCAATCAGTATTCCAACAAGATTTACGCAAAATTACTGTTAGCGTTAGGCTTAGTAAACAACCAAGTCATGCAACTGCAAAACTCTGTCGAACAATGTTAAGAATCGAATATACCTAGAAACATTCTTTCGTTACCGTGGTAATTATTGATCGTTATACGGTAATTATTGAAAGTGATGCAGTATTTGTTTACCCTTATATAACCTTTCCATTTACGTTCCGTACGGAATACAATTTTAGTACAAGGTGTGTCAGGAACCCACTAGAAACTGATGACAAAAAAAACCTGAGTGACAAAAACCTGAATAACCAAATTAAAAAAAAACAATCTCGTATGCGGCAGTAGATCAACTAAGGTTTCGCATACCTTAGTGTAGAACAATTAAGGTTTCCACCTGTGTATGAACTAACTTTTGAAACCTTAGTAAAAACAAATTTTCTTCCAGGGTTTAGTACGGTATGCTGCATGTAGTATTCCACGTATGCGCCCCGTACATGCACCGTCGTGGCGGAGCCACGACGGTACATGCACGCCCGCGCCGACACGCTCTAGTAAATTATAACCTAGGTCCCGATATTTTAGACCCGTAAATAATGCCCTAGGTCCAAAAATTTAGACCCCCGGATAAAAAAGTTGGTCAGGTTGGACCCGGATACTACTGGCTGGTGTCGTTAAGTAGGTTCCCGAGGGATGCTGCCGGTAGTGCTTGGAGCCATGCGCCCGCCTCTTTGGTGCTGACTGCCAACATCCGCGCCTGGCTAGCGATATCGTTTTCAGAAGCCCTCTCCAACAGTCTCAAATTTGACCTTATGATAGGTTCGTCCCACGCTTTGTGCACTCCCCGAACTTCAGGTGGCGGTGCATCTTGATTCGTCAACTGCTGCCATAAGGTGGTTGGTTCACTACAATACGTCTCCGGCTGGTAGTTCGTAACTGCGGAGGCCAGGGGAGCAACTGAATAAGCCGAGGCCAGAAAGGCCGGCAGTGCTAGCTTAACAATGTTCCTAATGCCCAAACCACCTCTTGATACCGGAAGTGACGCCTGTGTCCAGATTACGTCGGTTATGGCAGTGTTAGTTATTCTGGACAGGCTATCACGTATCATGGTGTCGAAATCATTCAGCAAGGGTTCCTGCAAGTAACACCGGCCGGTACGCAGTTTGTAAAGCAGCCTTACCGGTCCCATACTGCATCGAAGTAGATACAGTGCCTGGTGGGCTGGTATAATTTCCAGACGTTAAGTCATGCGGGCGACTACCTCCGTTGCACTGACGAGCGCCCCGGTAACGGCGTCATCATGAAGTGGTGCGCCTAGGTAGTGCAACTCCTTCAACTGCGGGCACTGTAGGTCTGGAAATGACTGGAGGAAAGCAGCGATAACCGAACTGCGCTCTGCTTCGGATCCTCCCACCACCACAAGTTCACATTTCGCGACGTTAACCTTTAGTCCACGTTTGTCCAAGTCATCTTTTAGCGTACACAGGTCGTCAAAGACATCGTTAGCCTCTCCTCCCAGAGCGTCGTCATCCAGAAAGCTTTCAAGGAACGCTGACTTTCAAGAAACGCTGACTAGCTACTTGTCGTTGGCTGAGCATCACAATGCATGGTAATGTACCATAATGCATCCTTGTATCTACTTGGTACACTGTCGATCTGCGGTTCATGTCATTCTATATTTTGAGTTGTCGACTTGTCGTCGTCATTGCACTATAATGCACCACGGTGAAAACATTCGTTAGAACTGTTTACTGTATCAACTTTCCAGCACCAGTACTGTGTAGATTTGTTATCAAAATGCAACACGTATGCAGTTAACAATTCTTTGCACCACAGTTCAAACCACGTTTTGCTTAACCCATGCTCGAGTATTAGGCTTCGTCCCGAATTCAAAGCGAATCTCGTTGCGATACAGCAACTCCACCTCGCGAGGGGGATTCGGGTACCGTATCTATAGGCGTGGCCACTGCATACAGCCACCTCGTGCGGTTGAGCAACCGTACCATAGCGAGATTCGCTTCGAAATCGGGACAAGGCCTTAGTCTCCAGTGGTACACAGTACTGTGCATCATACCGCCCATTGCTTTACCATGACGCAACCGTGAGTGCAAGATGCGGTAGAGATCTGCGATTTACAATAACCATAATTATTTTGTGTTGTTGTCGTCGTTGCACTTTAACGCACAACGGTAAAACGTATCTGTATTAACCCGGCAGTGCTCGGACTATCAAGGAATTTTTTGTTAGAGCTCAAATTGAAACAATAAGATAACAAAAATGTGATTATCCTAACCTATTTTTTAGTGTGGCTTTAACTATGGATATGGATACTGAATTTAACTAAAACTAAGTTTTAGTTAAATGCTCGTGCATTCAATTAACTTAGTTTTATTCAAACCCGCAGCAGTTTAACTAAACTAAGTTTTATTCAAACCCATTCAGTTTAACTACGACTTAGTTTTATTCAAACTGCGTCTCATAAAACTGAACTGAGTTATATCCGAAAGTCCCCATTTGAATATGGATACTCGTAGAACATTTTTTCCGACGAAATTCGTTGCTTAGGTCTAAATATAGGTAGCAGGTACATGGGTTACGATATCGTCTTACACTACACTACGGTTGCTTACAGTGCGGTCTTTTACCAGTGCACCGGTGTAATTTAAAAAAATGCACCACGGTTTTGAAAAATAAATTGATACAGCGGTGCGGTTCTTGAGAAAACCACACCGGCGCATACCACTGCGTTTGGGCAACCGCGTTGACGTACACCGATTCACCACCGGTAAACCGAAGAATATAATTATTGTAAATTCTCAATTAAAATAAATATTTTTTTGGGAAATGGCACTGCATGCTGGGTTCACGGCTTCACCCCCCGGGGCGCACTGGCCGTGACGGGCGCTCATCTATATCCTTTAAATGTAAATAATTGACCCTCAACTTCCCAAGTTAATATTTACTTATATACTTTAAGCACGCTTGATACTACACAGCACTCACAGCAGTACGAGTACAGCTTCTGCAACAATCGGGCTGCAATAATAAAGAAAATTCGTTCTTCCGTCAACATAAGAAACATAATTCACCGCACCGTTAACAACCCTACGTGCCACACGTAAGGTACGCTGCAAGCGCTCTGGTGATTCTATGGTACTAGTATTCATCACTGTCGTACTGCAAGTATCCACCCGGTGGAGGTTGTTCATCTGACACCTTTTTCTCCGAACTCTTTATGTTCTGCTGTTTCTGTTCTTCCTTGGCCGCAATAAACTGATCATATACATCCTTGTGATGGGCTCTAAGATGAGACTCCAGGTTGCTAATCTTGTACCCCGTTTTGATAACTTGTCCACAATTCCCGACAAGACATTTGGAATCTGTCGATCCTAACACACGCTCGAAGTGTTGATGAACAACAGAGACACGAGGCCTACCAACCTTAGAGGATCTATCAGACAGCGACAATTCTCCAATGTCACTGCTGCTGGTTGTTGTCATTTCAAAGTGTGTTAAAAATTGCAACAAAATAAACAAAGTTCACGACCAAAAACTGGACACCTGTATGAAAATTATATATCGAGATTTGTGCCAGCTACAATCCATGTAAAATACTTGTGCACTGTGCAACACGTAGTCATGAATACAGATACAGAAAGACCGAGTGACAGCATGGCGTCCTCAGTTGACTCAGTTCTCAGCTCTCAGTAGTGAGCCTCTCAGCGATCACTATGCAGTAATGCTGTGCATAACTTATTAGCCGATGTTTCACAAAATGCATGCACGCTGAATGTGAAAAATTTATCAAAATTACTACAAGTATATGTCTCAGCAGCCCTTAAGGGCAAGCAAGCGAGCGGCATCTAGACATTTTTTTAAAAGGTAATCCACAGACAGCACGAAGGATGGCTCCCATATTGCAGCTTTGTATAAGGCAGTAGGAGTTCAAACACCTAGTATAATTTTTGCTTAGTTCGACAACTTGAAAGGCGAGTACGCTTCATCGTCAGAATATTTGCATGCTAAGGATGCAAGCCCGAGTAGTGCAGTGATAAGACGTTCGGCTATAGACGCAGCTGTCGTGGGTTCGATTCCCACCTCTGGCGACATTTTTGCGGCATATATCAGTTTATATCTCACCACACGCACAGCCCCTCTTTCAAAACTAAACAAAAGAAATGGCACATGAAGCAACGTGCAAAATTAATCTCTATATATTAATGAAATAAGCCTTAGCGAATTCCATACAAAGCTCCCTTTTCTGAGCGAAACTATTAACGAAACTTGGGTGTCTATATATCATTCGATTGCGCCAGGTTTGCAGATGGCGCGACAAGAATCAGTTTTTGAGAAAAATGTAAAGTTTAAAAGAAAAGTTTAAGAAAAGCTAACATACAAAGTCTATGGGAAAAGTGAGGAACCCACCACTGCTAAATCGACCACCCCACCACTGTCTTGAGTCGACAGCTGAAACGCCGTTCTTCAAGCTCTTCTTCGAATGGGTGTGCTTATGTAATGACATGTATCACCTTATAGCCGTGGTTTATATATTTTTTACCAGAAATTTTTGTTTGCAAGACAGTTAGAGCTGAAGACGTCAGAAAGATCAGGCAAAGCAGTCCGCGAGTACGGAACAGCTGCAAAGTGCAAACCCAGTTTTTAAGTAGCTGTCCTCCGCAGTTGTTCGAGCTCCTTTATTGTAGCACCTCCAAGGGCGGGTGCGCGTGCCGTTATCACTGGCCGTTGCTTTACCGTACAACCGCGTGAAATCCATTACTACGGTGTCACCGTACTACGGTGGCACCGTAGTATGGATTTTACGGGGTTGTGTTAGAATGTGGTGCTAAAGTAGCGGAAGTGCAAATTATTCACGACGCTGCTGTGAAATTTAATGATTATTATTAATTAATTAATTAGTTAATTTAAATATTATTCACGACGCTATTGTGAATTTGTGAAACGACGCTATTGTAACAGAAGGCGAAGCCGCAGGTGACCCCGAGCTCCGGTACTAGCGAGTTTGCGGAGCAGCAATACACTGAATACAGATAGGACTCATACGAGTCATAAAATAATAAGCGAGACACAATCAGACACTGCGTCGTGAGTGCTGCGATCTGCGCATTGTTACCGGACAAACTGAAATTTAAAAAAACCCATGACTGGAAGTATGTTAATGACTTGATAAGTGTGGCTGCACTGGCTAGCCAAAATTCTAATACTTTGTACATAACAACGTGCAATATTTTACAATTTAAATAGCAGACTGATAAAGAAAAAAACTCAAAGGAATTTCTATAAAACAGCACATATTATATAAACGGCAAGTTTTGAAGTATATTACCGTTTTCTCTGCAGTGTACCGAACGAGAAAATGTTAACACAGAAAGATCAAAATAGAATTTTCGGTAAAACAGTGAACCCAGCTACGGCTACGAGTACAGCAGCAGCACCTTATTTTGAATTATGCAAAATTTTAAATTTTTAAATTTCTAAGCATGAATGAATCCAACGAAGCGTAGAATATATCTGAATTTGACAATGTACGTATCTTAGAAGTCATGGATAACGATGAGCTTATATATTTTTTGCATTTTAATCCACCACTGATTTATTCCGCGCAGTTTGAGCGGGATCTACTATAGTATATTAATTTTTAAACCCAGTCACACTGTATGATTATTCCTACCGACATTTTAGTGTAGGTTTTAGTGTTAGTGCAAGAAATGACTTGTTTCGAAATTATTTTTTAAAGAGTAATAATTTCCCGTGGTACATAATAATATTACGACAACATTTAAAAACGACTGCAAGCCTGTTACTTTGTGCGAAATTCTATTATTGCACCGATATGTTGGAGGTATACCGTCAGCATTAAATTCTTCGTTTTATTCGAAAACTAACTTCTATTAATAAACATAATTATTTAATTTTTTCTTAGTTTTTAATTTCAATTTTTCTCGATAAAACAAACCAGCAAGCATATTACGGATTAAGAATAGACGCCACCCCAAATGTGGAAAAATGCTGAAAGTAGGGAAAAGATTTGTAAAATTGTTGTACGTAATGTAGACTGTAGAATGACGCAAATATCATAATTAAGAATTTGGGGATCAGACGCACCGAGAAGCTAGCTCCCTCTGCCTACCTGGCATCGGCCTCCTCGTTGCACCCACTGATCTCCAAGCTGTGTCCGATGCTTAAGCCAACGGATGTGACCGTCGCCACTCGCGCCTGGAAAGTTATCGCTAACACAGACGATCTCCCAGCGGAAGCACAGCGACACGTTCAGAAGGCCTGGGACGTCCCTACGACGCTGCACGCATTTTCCAGGCTGACCTCATTACGTACCACAAAGGAAGAGGTCGCTCATCTGAAAGCTATTTCAGTCCCGGAATCTGGCGTGTGGATCCATGCATTGCCCGCGGCAAGCCTCGGTAATCTGCTGGAAAATAATGTTCTCCGCATCAGCGTAGCGTTGCGTTTAGGTTCTCCAATCGTATCTCCGCACGTATGCGTGTGCGGTGGATTGGTTGACGAATTAGGCCGGCACGGACTCCGCTGCAAACGATCTGCCGGACGGCTGCCACGACACGACGGTATCAGCGGGGAGTTCAGTCGAGGACTAAAGACCGCCGGCTTCCCAGCCAGAATGGAGCCGAAAGGTCTCTCAGCCAAAGATCGCAAAAGGCCGGATGTGATCACACTCGTACCATGGGAACGCGGAAAGCCTCTGGCTGTCGACGTGACTTGCGTGGACACGCTCGCTGCCTCATATATCGATCGCACTTCGATAAACGCCGGGGCCGCAGCTGAACACGCGGAAAGAGCGAAACTGACGAAACATAGTTGGCTGCAACCACGGTACAATTTCATGGCGGCAGCACTCGAAATTTACGGACCGTGGGGAGATGGAACAAAAAGGCTTGTGGAGAAGGTTGGATGCGGTATCGCCACCGCCACAGGACAGAAACGTGCGAAAGAGTTTTTTAGACAGCGACTCTCTATACAGATACAACGGGGAATGCGATCTGTGTAATGGGTACAATTCCCGATCAAGATAGCATTGAGGAGGTGTTTCTGTTATAAATGTTTCTAGTACTACGTTTGTACTTATGACATGATACTTATTAAAGGTTTTACTTCATTAAGAGTTTCATCAAACACGCAATTACAACCACCACGTCACGGTTGAGATGTTAGCTAAGGTAAGATATGCCTCAACTTCCGTAACGATATATGCAACTGGAAAGCACTGTATCTGTACTGTGTACGGCGAGTTGCATCCGATCTAAATGGCATATAACCCACTTTCAGAAACATTTAGAAATATAATACAAACTTTTGAAATCTTTAGAAACAAATTTGGAAATATCTACAAACATTTAAATGAATTTAGCGTTATTTAAAAATATTCAGAAATACTTAAGTATTGATTTGAAAATATGCAGAAGCACTTAAAAATATTTAAAAATATTCTGAAATAAATTTTCGAATTATTTAAAGATATTTAGAAATATATTAATAAATACTGAGAAATATTTAGAAATATTTATAGCTGTATTTAAAGCTATCTAGTGTTGGGCCAGTCGCTATGGCAGCCTACGAGTAGGCAGCCAGCGACAGTCCCGCTTCCGGTGTGCTGACTCACACCGAGTCGCACTCGCTGTCGAGCGCTAGATCGGCCTCGACTCAGGCAGCTATCCACCAAGCCTTACGTCTCGGCCAATCACCGGCCTCGATGTAGGCGGAGCCACGCCCCAGCTTTACATCTCGGCCTATCTGCGTTCGTTCGCTCGTATTGGATCTGCCCAGTGCCGCATTAGGCTTTTTCCCATGTTATGGCTCGATGTGCCGTTCATTCTCATTCACTAGCATATCATTCACTGTACTTTCATGACACTGGCCACATCGAGCTTTTGTGTTTTGGTTCTTCCTGTACTTTATTGCTATCCACAATAAAGCCTTTTCCTCACTATCGTGAGCCTCTGTTCGCCTGCTGTCACACTAGCAATATTTATGAATGTAATCGAAAACATTCAGTAATTCTTAGCATTATTTAAAAATATGTAAAATATTTGTAGAAATTTTTTAGAATTATTTCTAGAACGATTTAAAAATATATCATGAAAAATTTGAAACCTTTAGAAATAAATTTAGAGATATTAAGAAACATTTCACAGAATTCAACAAAATTTAGAAAAATCAGAAATATTTAAAAATTTATTTACGGATATTCAGAAGCATTTGGAAATATTTAAAAATTTACAGAAATAAACTAGAAATACTTTGAAATACTTAAAAATACTTGGAAATATACTAGTAATACTTAAAAAAATATTTGCACATGTATTTACAACTATTTAGAAATATTTATAATTAAAAGATA